CAATTCACAATAGCTAAACTTTGGAACCATCCCAGATGCCCTTCAATAGATGAATGAATAAAGATAAACTGTGGCGTAGCATATACACACACACACACATACACACACACACACATACACAATGGAATATTACTCAACAATAAAAGACTTCTGTGAGTTCTTGCTAAGTTTTCCAGACTGGCCTTAAATTTATGATCCTTCTGCATTAGCCTCCCAAGTAACTGAGCTTGATTGCTAGCCTGTGGTGCTGTTGGGAGGTGGTGGAACCTTCAGTAGATGGGGCCTAGAGAAAGGAAATTAAGTCATTGGAAAGTGCACTCAAGGGAATACTGGAACCTTGGCCCCTCCTCCCTTTGCCTGCCATCTGTGTACTCCCCTGCCATGATATACTATTTTGCTACAGGGTCAAAAGCTAGGGTTAATCAACAATGAACTGAAACCAAAAATCAAAATAAACTTTCCTGTTTTTAGATTGTTTACCTCAGGTAATTGTTACAGCAACAGAAAACTGTCTAACACAGGTGTGTATGTTCAATGTACATAAATATACTCATTATCGAATTAAAAAAAAGTTAAGAAAAATCAGTAACCGAGAGGTTTTTATGCTTCCTTAAAAGGATTACCAAAATTTTACTTGGGGCTGTCACAGAAGCTTTCCAACTGTTTTCAATAACTGTTTTTGTTAGAAATTTATTTTGCCTCATTACAAGGGTCAAATCTAAGACTTAGAAAACTTGAAAATAATAACATGTAAAGAATTATTTTTAAATTATCTACAATCTCACCATGCAGAGATAATTACCTTATAAATTTGTTGTATTTCCTTCCTGTCTTTTCCTCAACAATACGAATACAAACATTTAAAGCTGGTGCCAGGGTGCCCAGAGTTGTGGCTCAGGGATAAAGCGCTCACCTAGCATGCCTGAGGCACTGAGTTCAATCCTCAGCACCACATAAAAATAAAATAAAGGCACTGTGTCCACCTACAACTTAAAAAAAAAAAAAAAAGCTAGTGCTGTATTATAATGAAAATGCTGGCATTCAACCATTTCTGGCCTACAAAAATGACAATTTCATTTAATTTTAGTTTTAACCTAACTCTCTATGTACTGAGTACATATAGTATTATCACAATTTTACTTTCTTCCTTTGAGATTTTTATATCTGTCATAAGCATTTTATTATGTATGTAATAATCTTCCCAATATGATGTTTTAAGGCTGGGTGGTAGTCCAAACAAATGAATATAATAAATAATGTCACTGGTTCTCTGATGTTTGAAACTGAATTGTTTTCAGTTTTCACTATTATAATTGATACTGGTATGAACATGCCTGTGTCTCAATTTTCCTGTGAATCTCTGATTATTTCCTTAGGATAAATCCCTAAAGGTAGGGTGACTGAGTCAAGGTTTATGAATACTTTTAATACTACATAAACATGTTCCTAAAATCACTAGCACAGAATAACTAGTTCACATTTAATCATTAGTATATGAGACTGCTTATTCGTTCACATGACTACATGTTTTTAACAATCTGAAGGATTGTTAAAAATTATCCTTGAATTCTTAAGGAAAGAAAAGCTGATGGACAATTTGCATATAGGTGAACCAGGAACACATTATCAATACCAATGGTTCTCAAACTGGTATACATAAGAACCATGAAGGGAGTTTATTTAAAAATGAAGAACCCGGGATCCCATTCAAGTGATTCTGTCAATGGATCATGATGTAAATTTGTACTTTTAACCATCACCCTGAGTGATACAGATGTAAGTGACCCATGAACCACTCTTTGAGAAAAACTACTCTAGAGTAAATGCATGCTTCATTTACATGAGTAACTATTATAGATAAATTACTGCTGAGTAAGAAATGAACTTACTTCTTATTCAAAATACAAAATTAGGTAACTGTATGTCTTCAGACCAGCATTTTGCTTCATTTCTACAGTCACAGCTTAACTGAAAGTGCAAATACTTGGAAAAGTACACCAAGTACAGCAGTCTACCCACAATTTGGGGAGTAAAAAGCATTTTAAAATATAAGTTTTATTACTGGTTCTGCTATTCTCTAGCAAAATCTTCTCAAGTCTCAATGTCCTCACCTTTAAAAATAATAATTAAGAGTACCTTTCTCATGAACAAGATAATTAACACAGAAATGCTTAGTAAAGCACCTGGTCCAAAGTAAGAGTTCAATAAAGATGTTATTATTATTACAAGACCAGCACTGCTAAAGCACCTAATTCAACCAACCCACAAGACTCTTTGGCTCAGCAACAAAGGGGACTATACATAGCTTATCTAATAAACATACACAGAGTTTTGATAACAATAGCCTACCGTTTTTTAGAAAAATGATTACTTAAAAACATGCTAGGTACTGAATAAACACTTGAATAAAATTGTCTTAGAACACTGTCACATGAACAAGTACCAATGTCAGAATTTAATCCCAGGTCTGTTCTTTTAACCACTAAGACAATTTCTAGGATAACTATTCTATTTTAGACTACCAAATATCATAAAAGGTAAAACAAGAGCTGGGTGTATATCTCAAGGGTACAACGCTTGTCTAAATGTGCTAGGCCCTGAGATCAATCCCCAGCAGAGGAAAAACACACACACACATAAACCAACACTTTTTGCAAACTATGCATCCTTGCACCCCCCAAAAGATATGAAAGATTAAAAGGAGACATCAACATCATCTACAACCTGATTCTTTAATAGAAATCTCAGCCTTCCACTTAATTCCAACTTCTATATCTTCCAGGTCAACTATTGTAACTACCTCACACTGGTAAGGGTAAACTTATTTCTCCCTAATGGTCATTTTAAAAGTCTGTTTAGGATACTTTAAAATGTTCATTCATAATTTGATCAAGATCATCAAGCAGATTAGTGGCAGAGCCTAATTCAATCTAAGCCTTTAACTGCTTGATTCAGGGCTCTTTAGAAAAGGTAGCTCCACTGGGGCAGGAACTTCAAAAAGTTTACTACTCCATTAGTTTACATGAAAGACTGTCTAATTAGAGAGCAATCATAACATCGTCTTTTATAATCATTCTTTTAAAAAAAAGTAATCAACATATACTGGTATTTTCTTTCTTCCTATTTGCTCAATTCATGGCAAAAAAATAAACAATACGCTAAGGCAGATCACTCCAACCACTCCAGTGAAACATATCAATAATTAATTTGTGAATAGCTCATTACTTTTACATAAAGGAAATGTACCCTTGATCAAATCTCAAAATGATATTAACATTTTTATGTTCCTATTATCAATGGTCACAGAAGTTTTACGGAGGATTGTGGAGGGGGATAAAAAGTTGCCTACTAAATAATAAACAATTACAAATTCCAGTTTAAATTACTTTACCATCTTCTTCAATTAATTTTTAAACTATATAAATTCAGGAAAATGTGTAGAACAATAGCAGTAATATTTTCATCTTTCAAGAAATATTAAGGCCAAGGATTTGATTACATCAGAAAAGGAAAGACACCCTCTTCACATGGTGGCTTGATTCTAATATAATGACAATATTATGCTTGATTCTATCATGGCAAATTACTAATTTTAGTTATTTTGTTTTTGCACATGGTTAGGAAAGAGTATCCTATGGTAAGAACATAAATAGGGAATGACAGAGAAGTCCATATTTGTATGTGTCTGGTTCTGTACAAAACATTTTTAATATATATTAGTCAGAAAGGTAGAGGTGTTGTGTGGGAAGGAGGAAAGGGAAGAGATGACATTTGCTTTCCTAATGCAGTTTATTGTAGGTAAGGTCTTAGCACCTGAGTCTTACTTCTTTCTACAACAGTAATTCTACTCTACAGACACAGTTAATCCTATACTTCTACATTTGTAATTAATAAGTTGTTCAAAAAGCATGAAAGGTGAAAACAAAAACATTAATAAAATATAATCACTTTATGATTTTCCCAGGTGGCTTAGCCGTAGGTACCAAAAACAGGTTTCCAGACCAGAGCTGCATGATTTTTTGGAGTTTCCCATCCCTACAACTTCTTGCAAGATTTTATATCTACCTCTCTGTTCCTAAATACAGAAATAAAATGTTATGATCTAAACCAACAAAGACAATGTGTATATTTTAACCTAAAATGTTGAGGAACTAGTCTTAAAATGTTTGGCAGCCTGAAGGTTTTGCTCCCTAAAAGGTTGTTCATGTTAATAAAATTGCCAAAGACCATGATTAATACCATTCTTCTTATGAAATCTTCAATTCCATTAAAAATTAATAAAAAATGTCCCCCCAAAATTAATCACTTTAAATTTTATAATTTTGATATTATATTACCCAACATATTGTTTTGAATTTGCTATATCCTTAAACATTACTTTAAAATGGCTACTAATGTTTTCATCAGTATCCTTTAGAAATAATACACCTCAGATTTCTTAATATTCTTGTATCCATAAAATCACTGAGAGCAAAAGACCAAAAAAGGATACGAAACAATTTTCTAGTACAATTTGCTAGATCAAGAATTTATCATAATTCCAACATTATAATTATAGTTAAGAGTTTGAAACTGATGAAATCTATAAATGTTAAGGATATTCTACGTCACTTAGATAACACAGGATATTTAAACATAAATTCTTAAATCTTAAGACACGTGCTCTGATGTCAAGACCAGAGTATGTTGATACACATGTTGATGGTAAGCTAGAAATAGGAAACAGAGAGACGATGTTTTATTCTATTCAAGGTTAATCATACCAATTAACTTCTTATGAATTGATGAGTGAAATAACATACAATTTCTAAAATTTCATGAGGATATTCAAATTAATTATGAAATTATTGTGGTTATCCAAAACTTAAAGCAAAAAAGAAAATAAGGGAAAAATATTTAACTTTTCTCATTTCAAAAATAAATGCTGCTGCTGCTTTAAGTGACCAGCAGTCTCAGATCAACTCCAGGCTGCAATCACAACATCCATTAGAGTGCTCCACAGCTCAGAGCAAGCAAGCAAGTGGTTGTCAGTGCAGCTAGTAAATCACCTGATCCTATTACAAAATCAATTACTGCAGTGCATTTCCATTGCTACACAATCTGATGATGACAAAATGATATTGGATAGCTACTGCAAGGTCAAGAAAACTGCTAAGAACATCTTTAATTGGTCTTTTCCTTTTAATCATTTGGCCCTAGTTATAATGCAGCCATTTTAATTGTATATTTTTATTTGAAATAAATCTATGTAGTTACCTTTGGTTGTCTGGGACATTCGATGGATAATCTCTGCAACTGGTCTGATGTATGGCTACAAGAGAAAAGATCGGAGCAGCAGGTCGAACGGCTCAACCTCTTCATTAAAGAAGAAATAATGCTGCAGCCACAGCCACACATTGACTTGCTCATTAGATGAGAATTTGACTTAAAAAATCAGAACTGGTAATGTCCCGTATATACTCAAAATTGGCTAACTGCCTCATTCTGCAGCTCTCCGGCTAAAAGAAACACTGCTAAAAAAGAATAAAACAACAGCTTCCCCACAGATGATACCAGCCACAAACTCATCGCCAAGAAAAACTGGATATTAGAAACAGAACTCTCTTGGCTACTCTTCAGACATAAGGTAAGGTGCTTTAATATTTCAAACTGTTTTATATTAAAGCCCAAGTACTTAACAAAGGAACAAACTCAAGGTAAGACATCCTAAAAATTATACTAACCACTCTTTCTGTCTTCCATCAGTTTAGATCTGTTTGCCTACTCCTTCAGCTCAGCCTATCCAACCTGTTCCCTTTGTAAATGCACACTATTTCAACAACCAACAGGAATGAGCCCCACCCCTTGCTGTCCCCACACACACCGTTCAAGAACCACTCAATATCTGGAAAAGAACTGCTGCAGCATTGCTTTGAGAAACAACAGGGAGCAAATTACTGAACGGATTCTTTAACTTACCAATCAGAACTGCTGACCTTTTATGACTCTACAATTCAAGAAGCCTGCCAAATACTCACAGTAAGAAAAATCAACTGATTTTATTTCTATACTATAGATTAATTTACAGAATTGTTTTCAATCTTATTATTTAATATAAAATTGAGTAAGAAACAGAAACATAAACCTAAGTATTTTCTTAGCAAACAAATTTTAGGTAGTAGCTACACAAAGTAGCTCATCTTTAAGGGTTGGTGGGAGAGGGCAGGAGGGTGGTTGAATAAGATGCAGAGTAAAAAAATCCTTCTGAATACTGTGCTTAGACTTGAGAAGTAATGAGAAATACAATCCTATAGAAAAATAACAGTGCAGATAATGATAAAAATAAACAGCAAGATAGTCCAAGGAAGCCCCTGCTATCATAAAGAGTTTTAATAAGAAGAAAAAGACATGTGGCTATCTAGATAGGTTATTAATAATAAGTAAAAAGCCATCAAGAATCTGTTTTGATTATTGAATCTTCTCATTTGGTTATTTGCATTTCATTAGATTTTTTTAATACCACAAACCACTCAAAAACATAAGAAATAGTATTAAGAATGCTAGCCATTTTCTAGTATCTTTTATATTTAAGCATTCTACCTTTCCTAATAATATAATTATTTACATCATGTAATTATAACCCACAACAAGGAATATCACATTACTATAAATACTTCACCATCTCAAATAATCATACTTCAAATAATTATAACTTAATAAACAGTCACAGACCTGTGACTTGCCAATCCTTGTTAACAACACCTTTTTGGGAAAAGATGGTCAAGAAACTGAATGTAATAAAACATCTCCATTTAAAATATATATTTTTAAAACTCCATATTTTCTGTGGCATTGAAAGCTTCCTCATTTGTGTATGTATTGTGTTCAATTTCTTCCCTGGTTTAAAGCTAAAAGAGCCAATATTGCCTCTGCCTTCACCTTGTACTGCCCTTTTGATATTCATGTTATACTTAAATCAATTCTTCCAGAATACCTAAAAAAACAGGCATGCACTTCACACTGATTTAAAAAAAAAAAAAAACTTTTGTAGATAAGGTCTATGGAAACAAACAAGCAAAATAATGCAGTAACCTTTTACTCGCCTGCTGGAGGTACTGTCTGCTGCACAGAATTTTAAAGCCTCATCTGCAGATGCAATTGTGCTGGTATTGCCAAGAAGTCTGCCTTTGCTGTGCTGCTGCTATACAAACTATTCATCGAAAGAGCACTTTATATGGAAAACATGAAGTACTATCAGTTTAAGTTTCTTATATGATTTAACAAAAGAACTTCTAAAATTTAGTTATCGCTCTGCTCTAGATAATCTCAGGTGCATGTTAGACACGTTAGAGAAAAAGGTCCTATTGCTGCTGATGCATTACTTTAGCAAATGTGTGAGATGAGGAAGCTGAAAGAGGTAATGAAAAAATTAATACATCATGCTAATGTAAAAATAAGTACCAAGTATTAAAATCTGACACAATTTATATTGCCAATGAATGCACAACATGCCCTTAATAGCTTGAGATTTTTATGAATTTTATAATTAGCAGAAGCCTATAAATAAATCATTGTCTAATATTAACAGACAAGTACCAATTAAACAACTCTACCAAATACATACTCCTGATAATGAAAATAAGTTATTTTACTAGCTCCTCAGTATCACTACTGTTTCTGAACGAAACAATGAAATAAAATATCCAAAAGAACAGAATGCTTCTGAAATATCTCGACTTGCAATGCTTCTTCTTCCTTGTCACCCCCACCAATATCCCTTGTCTCTCAGATTATTTTTAACCAAATTAGCTTATAAGCAATAACAGCTATTTTCATCATTTACAATTTTCCTTCCATGTCAGCTAATTTGATGTACTACTGATTCTCTATTTAGATAGAAAGCAAACCAACAAGGAATAACCATTAAAAATTATCCAAAAAGCAGTATAATATTGCTTACCCAAAAAGCAGTATTTAAATTTAGCCATAGATATGTTTAAAAAGTAGAGGAGACATTAATATTTGTTCATTAATGACAATTGTATCATGCTACTTCTTCAATAAGCTTAATGGCATTTCAAAGATACTTTCTCCCTTAACTGCAAGTAATTCTAAATGTCAAAAACTTATCTGATATTATTGTATTTAAAAAAACAATTATTCTTTCATTTAAAAATAACCATATGTTGTCATATATAGCACCCTTTGAGAGAAGACTCCAACAATTCTCAAAATGTGGACTTGTGGGTTCCTATGACTCTATGAGATCAAAACTATTTTTTACAATACTGAGATATCACTTATGTTTTTACTCTCATCTATTTTACAAGTATATATAAAGTAAAGTTTTACTCGGACTACATGGCATGTAATATCCAACCTGTTTGAACACAGAGGCAAATGAGAATACAAATGTCTTCCACTAAGCTAGACTGCAGAAATGAAAAAGAATGCCATTCTTTCCATTAATTTTTTTCCCATTTCTTTCAGGAAAATATAGTAATTTTCCCCAAAAGACATGTTAATTGTATGAACATGTAATTGGATGTTATTTTTCAATGAATTTAATAAATCAATACATTTTAAACTTTTTATTTTTATTTTACAATAAGGTAAATATTAAAAGACAACCCACAATTTTAAAGAGCTCCTTAGGGTTTTCAGTAGTTTGTAAGAGTTTAAAGGTGTCCTGAGACCAAAACAAATTGAGATTCATTAGAAATGTTTGCACACATTTTTTCTTAAATCAAGGCTTACATTTGTTATAAAAAAGTAATACTCATTTTAGGATATCAAATATAAAATGTTTTTGAATTTTCGCTGTCATTTTCAATACATGAGCCCAATTATTATCAGATGTATTTAACAAAAGTGCTATCATCTATTTTTTTAAAGTAGTAGATAACCAAAATTAAGAGAATCTGTTAATTCTCAAACAGACTCTCTTTGATCCTCTCCTTGGCCAAACCAAGTTTTCTCTAGACTTATGAGTCCCATTCATTCATTCATTCATTCATTCATTCTTCAAATATTTAAGTATCTCCCATGTGCCAACCAGGTATGAGTAATGAAGATGTAGCAACATGCAAGAGAGACAAAAAAACTCTTTTGGTTTCACTGAACTTATTTCCAGGGGAGAAGATACATAACAAACAAAACAAATATTTACTACAGCAGATGGTGTCAACTGCCAAGAAGAAAAAAATATAGGAGGAAGAAAGAAATGACTAGGAAGTCTCATTTCCTTGATCGAATTGTAAATAATTTTTTTTATTTTAAGAACATTTTTTAAATATTGAGAGTAATTCCAGCAAAAACATGTGTTGTCAGTAAATAAAATTTTGAATTTTTTAAAGGAAAAATTTCAAATATCTGCAAGAAGAGAGTATAATGAACCCCTATTTATACACTTATCATCTATGATCAACACTCATTCAAAATAGTGCCAGTACTGCTTTATCTTTGATTCTTTTTTAAGGTATTTTAAACCAAATCCCAGGCATCATGTCAATACCATTCTCACCCTCATACATCCTTACGGATCTTTAATTTGGCCAGAGCCTTTCATACTCACAAAATCACCCTACACACACAACAAATTAACTGTACTTCCACGATCTTAATAAGTCAATATTTTTTAACTTTTCCAGAATGTCTCAAAAATGTCTTTTCTACCTAACTTAATCTAAACAGAATTCAAAGGAGAATCCCTCTTTGCATAAGGCTATTATATATCTTAAATCTTAAAAGCAACTCAATTGGTCCTCTTTTCCTCCATGTCACTGACTTTCAAAAATCATTTTAGTTGCTCAAATTATGTAATTGTCCATGTGGTTTTGTGTCATTATCTTGTAGCCCAATCTCCCATATTTCCTACAAATAACTTTTGATAATTAAACTCCAAATTCTAACCTCATCAGAAATATAATTAACAAACACAGGAATTCTAACTCCAGAGAAATAAAAATTTAAGTCTACCAGTAATTTTGAAATACTTGTTGAAAAAAAAATCTGAAAAAATTAACATGGTGCAGTAGCTCAGAAAAGACAGAAGAGGGAACTATAATATTTAGGAAGTCCACACTAAATAGCATTAAATTTTACTTTAAATTTCAGCACTGAATTTCAACTTAATGATGATTCAAAATATAGTAATTATTACATTTACATATCTCCTTCCAAAAACCAAGTAGATAAAATCTAGAATCCAGAAGAAAAAATTAACATCCTCTAATAAATAGTACACATTAACAAATATAACCATTTAAACTTATTCTAAAAATACACCTCAAAATTCCAAATAATTTTCTTCAATAGTAAGCTAAACGAAACTAATGTATGTATTTTTGCAAAATAATCATTTTAATTATAAAATCAAAATACTTAAATGATAAGGGAAATCCAGAATTTTAAAGCAAATTACTTTTTTACATATCTGTTCACACGAAAGAAAGCTACAAAATGTCTTTCTTTAGTGATAAAGGTATTTCAAGAATAAATATATGCAGTCTACCTAAGATGTTTGCTCAAAAAATGTTATTGAAACATTAGTGTAATTTATGTAAAAATATAACCATCACACTAATTAAAACTACTTTATGCAAGTACAGATAGAACAACAAATTTATACACAAGCGATTGTTACCATACCAACATAAGACAGAATAAAGCTAGTATAAACTATAGAATTTAGGTAACCTTTTTGTATCTAACAAGGAACTCCTTAACTCCAGTTTCCACTAACATATTCCTCATTTCCTTGGGAGCTCTCAACAGTGGCAGCACTTTTAACATTCACACTTCCACAATCATTCTGTTTATGAGGATTTAGGTGTTCTCTTAAAAAAAAATATATGAAATTTCTTGACCATGCTTCTGACTTTCTTCTGGGTCCTCATCATCAGGGTCTTTAACATCCATGTTTCCTCCAATAGTGTTCTTTGATGATTTCACCATCCTCTAGAATGGTATGGTTTTTCTCTACATGCTTCTCTCTCTCTTCTGAGGGCTCACAAGCAAAACCTTTAACATCTGTTTTTCTACCAATAGTAAATGCAAAGCAATCTAGGCTTTCTCTTTCATGTTCCTCAAAACCCATTCCCCAATTTCAAAGCCACTCCACATTTTTAGGCATTTGTTATAGCAGTGCTCCACATATAGGTACCAAAATCTAAAATTAGCTTTCTATGGCTGCTGTAACAAATTACCACAAATTTGGTAGCATGGAATAGCAAATTTATTATCTTACACTGTTCTTAAGACCAAATATTCAAAATCAGTTTGATTGAACCAAAATCAAGGTATTAGCAGACCAGTATTCTTTCCAGAAGCTCAAAGTTCATCTCTTTCCTTGCTCTGGTTACTGCTTAGAAAGCTATCTGAATTCCTTAGTTCTCTTGGTCCCTTCTTCCCCCTTCAAAAGCACATCATTCCAGCCTGTGCATTAGTCTCCCATCTCTTGTCTGCCTTGACCTTTTCACTCACTTATGAGGACTCTCTGATTACACTGGCTTGCTTGAATAATCCAGGATAACCTCCCCACCTCAAGTCCTTCAACCATGTAAGATAAAATACACAGTTTTTGGAAATTAGAAGGTGGACATCTTTCAGTTTACCAAAATACAATACTAAAAGCACAAAAGACAAAAGTAAAAGTATAGACTGTTCTTCAGGAAAACAATAAAAGACTTTTGAACTTAAGACATTGTTTAAAAAATGAAAAGGCTAGCCATAAACTCAGAAAAACTTGCAAATAGTTGTCCAAAGGGCTTATATCTAGACTATATTAAGTACTCTCGCACCTCAGCGACAACCCCCTAAAAAATTTTTTGACATTTGAGAAAATGTTTCAACAAAAGAAGATACAGGAATAGCAAATACACATAGGCAGCAATGTGCAACATCATTATTCATTAGAAAAATGAGAATAATGCCCCAATGGGATGTCATGACCTAACCACTAAAACAAGTAAAATTAAAATAACTGACCACAACAAATGTTCTGAGGACACTGAATGACTAGATGCTAGCAGTAATACACTGTTAGCAGTAAGATACAACCACTTTGAAAAGTCTGGTGATTTCCTATAAAGGAAAACATACACCTACTGTATTACTCTGCCATTCCTCTCAGGAGGAATAAAAACATATGTCTACATAACAACTGCATATAAATGTTTGGGGCCTCTTTATCCGTAATAGCCAAAAACAGTAAACAACCCAATTTAGCAAAAGATAAATGAAAAAAGGTTAAAAAAAAAAAAAAGAAATACCCAACAAAAATAAAGTATTAATAGTCCATGTAAAAAATATGAATGAATCTCAAATTTATTAAGCAGGAGGAAATAAGCCAGACTTGAGACACATTATCTGATTCTACTTTTATAACATTGTAGAAAAATAATTTATAGTGACAGAAAGCAAGTTAAGGGTTGCCTGGGAAGGGAGAAAGGGGGACATTACAAAGTTACAAAAAGGATTTCAAGGTTAATGTACACACTTACTACCTTGAATTTAATGATGGTTTCATGTGCACATAAATAAGTCATCAAATTATGCATTAATTATATCTCAATAAACCTAAATGTTTTTAAATTTAAAACTTAGAAGATGAATATGAGGTAGAGAAAATAAAATCTAAAGCCTATTTTTACGGTAGAATCCTAATAAACAATCTGGAGACAAATGAATTAAAGAATCTAAAATACACTTAAAAGATAAAATTATACTGTAGAATTTAGGATTCTCAGATGCAAGATGAAATTGAATGGTACTCAGTTTCCAGTGGGATTTTTTTCCCTCTACCCCTACCCTCTCTCCATGCTTATAAGAGAGCAAATGTTCAGGAAATTATCAATAATCTGATATTTAAAATATTCATATTTCTAAGCAGACTGACAAAGGGCTCAAAAATAAACTTTACTGGCACAACTATTTTCGCCCTCTGAGAGACAATCTAATCAAAATTTTCACTTGCCAAATTTTGACATTCTGAACTACAGAGGTAGAAGATATGTATCCACTTAGGTGACTAAAAAGAATGGATCAGCTGTCCATGATCCATCATAGCACAGAGACACTATTAAGAAGTGAACACATCTGAACGCCAGGCTAGACAGACATTTCTCAGTAAACAATATTGTATTGTATTGGGCAAATCATGTCATACACAACCATTTACTTAACTAAAAATGAGAACATAATCATATAATGCTGGATTGCTACCACAGTCCCATCTCTACTTTCAGAGAATTATATAGACGGACACACAAGGAATTCCATTCTAAAACAGCTCTATTAAGAGTGACCTTTTAAGGGCTGGGTAGCAAAAACCCTGGAGGATATTTCAGCCCCTTCATAATTTGGTGGTCAGCCACATAACTGGGTAGAAATGATACTCAGATATATGGCTCATTTCCTCTGATATTATCTTGCTTTCAGGGTTTCTCTCTACTAAAGTTTAACTGTTCTGTCAGCCCCATGTTCTGTCTTCTGATATCTCAAACCAATTTTTAGCCACCCAATCCACATGCAAGTTGAAAAATGTACTCAGTCAAAAAAAGAGGCAAAAACAAATCTCATGTGGTTCATTTCTCATTCAAGAGCAGAAGTCACATAATAATCAGAATAAGAAATTAAACTGGTCTTATAAAAATGTTAAAGATATGTGCTTAAGCTGGTTGCAGTGTTACACACTAATCCAAGCATCTCAGAGGCTGAGGCAGGAGGATCCAACGTTTCAAGGCCAGCCTCAGCTACTTAACAAGGCCCTGAGCACCTTAGCGAGACCCTATCTCAGAATAAAAAAATAAAAAGGGTTGGGGATGTGGCTCAATGATTATGTGACCCTGAGTTCAATCCCCAGTACCAAAAAAAAGATATGTACTTAATAATTCAGAAGAAATTTTTATTTACTCCATAGCTAAACTTACAAAAATTCAAAATACTTTTGCGTACACATAATCTGCACAAAACTAAAATCAATAAAATTCTAAATATCTATTCCCTCTTCACAGAAAAGATAAAAAGAACTTAAACTTAAAAGGCAATGATTAAGATATGAAATCAAATGTTAGAATTACTGTGATAAATTATTTAAAAAGACCCTTCCTTTCTCCAGTCCAAAAACTAAACATAAATTCACAATACTAATATTAATAAACAAATCACACACAAATAATATTTTCACTGCCACACATGGGATCAAACATAAGGTTTTGCTGAATACAATTAGCTGAGGAATTGAAGCACAAATACAAGAATAATTGCTTCCTTTGGGCTTTCACTGTCAAACACAGAAAACGCCCGTGTTTTTTTAGTCCTATAATAATTAAACCCTTGTCATAGATCTAGACTGTCAATGAATATTTATTTAAAAATAAATTTGTAATATGACACCAAAAGTACAAGAAACAAAAGAAAAAAAAAACAGATAAACTAAACTTAATCAAAATTTAAAACTTCTGGACTTCATGACACCATCAAGAAAGTAAAGAGATAATCCACAGAATAGGGGGAAATACTGCAAATCACAGATCTGGTCAGGGTCTAGTATTTAGAACATATAAAGAACATTTATAATTCAACATTTAAAGATAACCCAGTTTTAACTGGTGAAGATTTGAACAGATATTTCTCCAAAGAAGGCAAACAAATGGTCAAAAGCACATGAAATGATTCCTACCACACAAAAGAAAGTCATCAAAAAGAAAATTAAAACCACAGAGATACTACTTCTCACCAACTAGGATAACTAAAATGTAATAGACGACTATAAGGATGTGGAGGAACTAGAACCTTCTTCACACATACTTAGTGGGAGAATAAAATGGCACAGTCATTTTGACAGTTCCTCAAACACTCAAAAAATCATCCCAACACTTGGAAAAATCCACCCCATTTATATAGATCAAAGGGCTATTTGGTATTTGTTTTGTATTGTTATATTAGGTTTGTCTGAACTCAAACTGCAAACAATGTCTCCTTTATGGTATGCAATAGCTGATTTTGCTTAAGTTTTTTCACATTGTAGCTGGTTGGTTTTTTTTTAATAAAACCTCCCTTGTAATATGTTCACAAAAGAAATAAAAACATATCCATACAAAAACTTACACAAGTATATTCACAGAAGAAGTATTCCTAATAGTCAATACAACGACTGATGAATATATATATATATATATATAAAATGGAATATTATTCAGTCATAAAAATGAATGAAATACTGATACATACTACAAACTGAAAATATTTTGCTAAGTGAAAGGAGCCAGACACCAAAGGATAAATATTTTATGATGCTATTTTTATAAAATGTTCATAAAAACAGAAAGTCTACTAAGTGCTACCTAGGGCTGGGAGATGTGGAGGTGTGAAGGTTTGAGGACATGACAAGAGTGATGAAAACATCCTAAGCTTATGTAGAGGTAATGATCCTACAAGTCTGAATATACTAAACTATCACTGAATTGTATACGCAGGGAAGAATTTTCTAGCATGTGAACTGAATCTCAAAAAAAAAAGTCACTCAAAATTAATAAAGTTGCAAAAATGAAATGTGAGTCAGAAGTATACGTAATACAAAGACAACTGATTCCCTCTAACTGAAATATATGCATCAATACGGAAAAATGACAATAAGTCATTTTTATACTTAATACGTGCCCAGAAATCAGTTACTACATTTTAAAGTAGTAGAAATCTGCTTAACAATTTACAACATCATTTGCTCCTAAAAATGTTATACTTATTTTATAAATACATAGTAAACATAATAGTATAATTGTTGAATAATTGGTTTTAGAAACAATATTTGGTCAAATATGTATTATTGCAAACACATTAAAAAATAAAAGAAACCAATACTTATCCTTAAATATTTCTTCATATACATACAATTATAATCTCCTTTAGCTAATCAAATAAACCTATTTATCTCTAAAAATCTTTTGACTATATTAAAAACAACCTCAAACTATGACACAATATTATCCAATGTCTCAGCACTTTCTTCCTATCTTTGAAATATTTTTCATCACTTTAAAATCTATCAAGATTAACTAACGCATTATTGTGTCTATATAATCATCATAGTATATAAATCTAAAACACTTTTAGTTGAAATAAAACATGCTGAGATTAACCAATCTTTAGTAAAAAATTAAGTAGTAAAAGCTTTATCTAATAAAATCCTAAATTTATGAGATGCTTTACTATAGGCCCATAAAATTTTTCATATTTCAATCCTGGAACAAAGAAATTGGGATAATCTAGACAGGAAACAGCATAAGGCCTGACAACATTAATGGTTGGTACACTGCAGCAAATGGGACCTAATAAACAAAACAATGGATGGCAAAAGAAAAAATCCATACTAGTTTTAGCAACTAAAGGAGAACTACTACAAAATCCCAAGAAGGGAAAATCCTGTTTCATTCATAAAGTATTACCACTCCTTACCCACTAGAACTATTTCTTTTCAGGACTTCCTAATATTTAGGCTGCACACCAAAAGAATGTTCTGGATACAACATGTAGAAAGAATCAGAAGCAGATCAGAAAAGGCATAGAGAAAAAAATTCTAGAACCTAGTTAAAAATTAAAAGCAATATAATTTATAATTGTAATTTAACACTGGTTATTGTAAATGTCCTTATATTGCGTGCATAAATTTAACTAAAATTCAAAGTTTGGAGTTCAATACTTACCAACTACTTAGATAGCCTTTTAAAAATCTTGCTGATGGTAGAAATTCCCTAAATAAAAAAATAAATAAATAAGTGAGAAATATTTTTTCAACTTCAGAATTATACCTACTCTGTAAAATCTACCCAAGAATTCCATTTAATATTAGGGTTATTTCTGTATGTATAACACTATAAAACCCAAAGCATATGCTGAAACTTGAGCATATAATAAAATTTTTATATACAAACTTTTCATAATCTTAAAAATAATTTAAATTTCATATGCAACATATGGAAAAGCTGATTATCAAGACACTGGCAGCATTTACTAGAACAGAACACAGAAAGAATGAGCTCTATCACAAGTAAGACAAATAATTAAAAGATCAAGGGAACAGTATACTAATAACTTCTTAGAGTATCAGTCATATGTTCAATTCTTTCTAACACTGAATACACACTGTCATATTCTGGTACCTGGCAACACCTTTTAAGTAACACCTAAACAATGTAACAATAAGTTCTACAAAGCAGAGCCAATGAAATGATAAAATATTTTATAAACTCATTGTGATTTTATCAAAAGATCAAAATGAGGAAGCATTTTAAAATCCATTCTATGTTAATAGGTAAACAAAATACCTTGTCCATAATAAAAAGAAACATGTAAAATGGCAAATGAATTTACTATTATAAAAGTTAGCTGTAAATAATTTCATAATAAACTTTGAATACGAATCTTTTCAATCAAGTCTCAAGTCAAATTAATCAAAATTAAGAATAAAGGTACTACAAAATATTTATGGAACTCTAAGTGTTTGCCAAACACTTTACTCTGAACTGAAAAAAAAAAAAAACTTGTACAGACTTTTTTCTAAACACTTCATTCCTTATAGACTAAGTCATCTGCTTAAATATAGCAGCTGCATTTGACTGCACATCCCAATGTTTTTAAACCACCATTATGTCTCCTCAAAAACAAAACATAGCAAGTAAGGCAGAACATAATGTTATGAAATAAAACTGCCTCTTTCAGAGTCAGGAAAAAAATCTGTTTAAAATTTCCTTTTAAAGAATCACCAGAATAACAATCATCTATCTTAATAGAAAATGTTACATTACTAGAAACTGCAGTACCACATATAAAAATAAAAATGTTTTCTTGAGTAAGCCTGATAGATTTCCTATGACTACTTCTGCTAAAACCAGAATCTATCAAATCAACATCTATCCACAGACCATGGACAAAGGGAAAAGAAAAAGAGAGCTAAACATAAAATTGTAAAGCTGCTAAACGATGACAAGAGAACACTGTCACAACTTTGAGCTGGGCAAGGATTTCTTAAACAGGACACAGAAAAACAAACTGGATTTCATTACAACTAGGAAGTATCTTTTTAAAAAATAAAAATACAACCTACAGAGTAGGATGAAATATTAGCAATATACATGTCCGACAAAGGACTCATCCAAAACATATTATGACAGTTTAAAATCAACAAGAAAAAGACCACTCAAGGGCTGGGGATATAGCATAAAGGTTGCTTGCTTAGCATAAGGCCCTGGATTCAATCCTAAATACCACAATAAAGAGAAGAACAAAAACACAAACATTATTAAGATACCCAAAAGATCAAACAAAACTTCAAAAACAAGATCATAAGAAAAATGCTAAATATTACTGATCATTAGAAAAATACAGATTAACCTCACAATGATATATACTATCACCCACAATTTTTTTTATCTAAAAACTCGACAATAACAACTGTAAGCAACAATATGCAGCAACTCACATTCTCATAAACTAGAGCAGAAATGTAAAATGGATCAAACAGAGAATGTTGGGAAGTATCTACTGAGACTGAAAATATAATTCCTAAAGATCAAGCAATACCACTCCTAATTATACATGCCCACAAAAAGATATGTTCAAGAATTATCACATCAGCATTATTTTAAGAGCCCAAAACTGTATATAATCCAAACATCTAACAGCATTAGGATGGAGAAATAAAAACCACAGTATATTCATACAATGGAATCCTAAACTACAGTGAAAATGCCACATGTCAAAAACTCAGTGTCAAAGAAGCCAGTGCAAAGAAAAAAAACAAAAAAACACATACTATCTGATCTATTCTTATAAAATTCAACAATAAACCAAACATATCTCTGTTTATAAAGTAGGAAGAGTAATTAATTACCTTTCTTGTGAAGGAATTATTGACTGGGACAGGGCACAGGGAGACTTCTGAGAAGTTGATACCTTGATCTGGGTTGGGGTTAAAAAATTGTGTTCACTTTGTAAAAGTTCGTCAACATAAAAAAGTTCACTTATACTTTTCTGTATGCATATAATGCTTCAATGTTTTTAAAATTTAAAAAAAAGACCAAAAATTATTTCTCAATAATTCTAGGCCATCATACTAATAATATGTAACTCACTAATTTGAAAATCTCAAAATTTCTTAACAATGTATTCCAATTTATTTCTATTGATTACACAAAGGTAATTTAAATATGGCTGGTCATTTTATACTAGAAAGTTTAAAAGCAGTTTCAATGCAAATATAAATTTTGCCAGCAAAGGATTCCTTATGATTTTCTATCACTGGTTGAGTTGTCCCCTATCTGAAATGCTTGGGATCAGGAGCATTTCAGATTTCATAGTTTTTCAGATTGTGAAGTATCTGCATTAACTTTACCACATGAACATTCCTAACCCCCAAATCCAAAATCCAAATACTCTAGCATTTCAGATTTCATATTTTCCAACTGGAGATATTTACAGAAACTATTTTTCTAATGCTTGTCCTAAACAAACTCAAGTTAAATTTATAGATACGTGATTTTGCACAAATATCTTTAAATCATTAATAGCTAGCTTGAACACTGATTTCAAAATCAACCACATAGCCAAGCCAGGCATTCATAAAAACATTAAAGCAAACTTACTAGACACTATTGTTTACAAAATCTAAGACTTTTTGATTGCTTCCAGTCTCCCTCATTTGCCACCTTGAGTCCCTACTTGTGTGCCTAATCTTAGGTGGTCTACCTATGACACCCCTGAGCAACAACCTTGGTATTCCAGGTGACCCCCATTTTTACTCTGACAAGATTAAAGAAGTTACCATGAGCCAGGAAAAATTTGCCAAACTGCTGGCACAAGTACACACTGGTTGGAAAGGAACTGCTTGCAGAAGGAAGGTGGTTCATTGAACCAAGATTAAACAGAAAAATAATAAAAATAAAACACTTCAGTTGTCTTTAAAGAAGTTAAGGGAAAACAGTTTCCTCTCTGGTATGAAAGAGGTGAATATGTTTACAAACCAAGGAACAATGATCCACTTTAACAACCTTCAAGTTCAGGCATCTCTGGCAGAAAACACCTTCATATCACAGGCCATGCAAAGATAAAAGCAGCTGTCAGAACTGCTACCCAACATCTTAAACCAGCTTGGTGCAGACAGTCTGACTGAATTAAAGAGACTGACTGAAGCACTGCTCCAACAATCTATGGATGGAAGAGCACTACTTGCTACTGGAGAGGAGGAGGGGTGGGGGCAGGGAAGAAGTTTCAGATCTTGTATAGAATTTTAATAAGATTCTAAAAATGAGGTAAACTGATTGGAGTCAACTTCAGAAGACCAATAAAACTTGAAGAAGTTACTGGAAGCTGCTATTTTATACTACAACTGTTTTTTAAAATTGTTTATGAATCTGATAAAATCTAGATCTCTAACATTTTTAAGCCCAAGCCCCTTGAATACTGCAGTTCTTTTCAGCTTTCGTTTATACCGTTTATTCTATGCAGCTAATTAAGCTGAAAAAGCCTGGTAATAATGCTTGAAACAAAGGTTAATGGAGTTCTTTGACTAGTTAAAAAAAAAAAAAAATGAAGACTTAGATTTTTTTAAACCATACCTTTTCAAGAAGTGTTCTACATCTATTGAAAAATAAAAAGCCTTGCAAATAAGTCTTCTTATAAACATAAAATTTTTGTTGATATTTACAATGGTACCTATATAAAAAACATAAAAAGTTCCATTTCTTCTTATCTACCTTTTCAATTATACTGACCTAATCATTATTTCTATTTATCTAACAAACTTCTATTCTTTTGTCTAAATTAAGTAATTTGATTAATCTTTTATTAGATTTAAATAAGGATTTGTGACTTATTACAACAACCTGTTTGTCTTTGGCTGACAGATATTTTTTGTTGTTTTTGTTGAGTCTATAACAAAATTCAGGAAGGAGAGGAGGGTGGCCTAAAGGCTGGAAAGGTCAGTTCTCTTAATAATTCCCAGAGGCTAGGAATTTAGGTTTCCCCTCAGATTAGCACCCCTTCATGGGGTCAAACCTCATTTGGTATCAAAACCTTACAAGAACTTTCCTGAGTCTTGGGGTTTGTTATCTATATGAATCTAGCTTGATAGAGAGCTCCTTTCCTAACATGCAACAGCCAGAAATCGGCAAGTTCCTGAATAAAAAAAGGCCAGCAATCCAGTTAGTCCTGAGACACAGTGAACAAAAGAAAAACCACTGCCAAACTAATTTTTTTTTTAATCAGTCTAACTCCACATCCCATCCAAGCATGAAACATGCTTCTTTAAGGTTCTTAACTTTCTAAAAGATTTGTTTTTACCACAAATAAAATAAAGTAACCAACATGGGCAATCTTTGAACAAGTACTAATATTAAAGGTAGTCAAGAACAAAAAGGGGGAAATCCCTTCTTCATGAGAAGTTTGTCTTATCTTCCTAAAAAAGAAGAACCAACTTACCGAATGTAAAGGAAATTTCCCCAGAGAATGTATTTCTTTAAAATAAAAAAATTTTAAAAATTAAAAAAAAAAGACTAGAAGGACTAGGATCATGGTTCATGGTTCAAAGTCCACTTTGAAGCCAAGAGTGACTAAATGAAGTCAAGACAACAGATCCCATGCCATATCTAAATAGTCCACAGAATCAGATATGGGTTTATTAAGAGAAATTACCTAATTTTATGATTTCTAATAATAATAAAAATACCAGAGAAGACTAAAAGGATGTAAGCAAAGCAATCTTCCCCTAAAACAAAAGAACCACAATGAATTCAATGATTACACCCTGTTCATCAAGCAATAATCTAATGAAGACTGTTTATGAATTATGATCACATAAATACTATTTTAAAACCTAGCATCTTTAACAGGTATTATGTTACAGTTTACAGAAATAAATTCTGATGTGCTACTGCACAGACAGGTAAAGTTAACAACAGAATGTATTGTTATTTTCAAAAAAGTTTAAAAAATATTTTGAATGCTTCCACCACAAAGAAACAGTAAATGTTTGAAAAGGTAGATATGCTTACCTGATTTGAACATTATATAATATATACACATACATATATCAAAATATTACATGATACCCCATAAATATTTATACATTTTATGTGTTAAACTTTTTTAAATTAATAATAAAAAGAATTTAAATCTAGCATCTTTGAATGGTGTTCATAATTTATTTTCTTAAGAGACTGCTATTTTTTTGTTGTTTTCAATTTTAAGTTTTTTGAAGCTACACTGGTAAAGAATATAAAAGAAGGGAGTCCAACTCATCAAGAGTTCTGGCCACTAAAAATATTAAATGGAAAACTCCAGAAATTAATAATTTGTAATTTTTTTAATTTTTATGTGGTGCTGAGGATGGAACCCAGGCCCCACCCGTGCTAGGCGAGCGCTATGCGGCTGAGCCACAATCCCAGCCCCTAATAATTTATAATTTTTAAACTGCAAGTCATTGAGATGGGTGATGAAATCTCAAACCCCATTCTTCCTGAAATGTGAATCATCCCTCTTTTCAGAGTATCCATCCTGTGTACACTTCTGCCCATTAATCACTAAGCAGCCATTTCAGTTATCAGATGGAGCAAAGAACTGGTATCCCCGTGCTTATTTCCAAATAACACCTTATTTTACTTAATGATGGAAGCAAACCCTAAAGTAGTGGTGCTGGCAATTCAGGTACACCATAGTAAAGCCATAAAGTGCTTCCTTTATGTAAAAAGGTGAAAATTCTTAACTTTTAGGGGGAACAAAACAATATAGAGAATTTAGTACTATCTGAGCTTTCACATATCCACTGGAGGTCTTGGAATGTTTTCCCTGTGGATAAGAGGGACATATTACAGTTTCATGGAGATCGGATCTTGAATTACCTGGGACAAATATTAAAAACTGCTTCTCAAATTACCCATCACCCATTTGATTTAGTCTACTTACAAAATTTCATGAATTAATCCAGTACAAACAAACCAATGGTTTACTTCTATCTTATATAGAATTGAATTTCATTATCTTATATTCTTCAAATGTCTTTTAAAAATCTCATGCTATAACAAATTTTTGTAAAAGATGTAAATTTTCACTTAAAAAAAAAAAACCACATGCAGCATTTCTATTTCTTTAACAAAGAAGGCACAGCATTTGGTGTTTATCCCCAAGCATCTGGCTTGATTGCTATAAAACCGCAAAGGAATGCTTACACAGTACCTCAATTTGAAAGGAATTCCTCAACTTTCTCATAGACACTCCAGCAAATTAAAAAGTAAACTCATGGTACTTCTAAAAAATATCTGATTTGTTCCAATTGTCCGAACAGTAACAACAACAACAAAACCAACATAAGTTATCTGCATTTCTATATAATTACATTCATAGAGTTTTGCTCTCATGTTTTCTCTGACACTTCCACAAACCTTAAAACTGTATCTAAATTCCTCACAGTTCTCACCAATTGCAAATTTTCAAAAGTCTGTGATTTACATCTTCTGCCACATTCATATTCCTTAAGTTAATTCAAGCCCCAACTGATCACTAATTTACTACAATAAAATACTGGATGAGTTCTAATCCCCTTCCCCCCCAAAAATGACCTTTATCCAGAAACATAAACTGCTGTTCACCTTGATATTAACAGGTTCTGTAATAAATTAAATCTTTATGGAGTCCTAATATCTCCCATAATCTCTTAAGATTACACTATTCAAATTAAATTAACAAAAAACAAAACTGAGTAAACATATTAACTCTTAAATCCTGTACTACAAAATTCAACACATACTGTTCTAAAGAACAGAAGAGTTCTACAAAATCAAATCCATCTTTACTATTTAACAAACACAGCAGAGGGATGAAGAGCCTATAGAAATTTATTTGAAATAATAGTTAGTAAAAGGCAACCACAGAACCAAATAATATTATGCCCTGCATTAAAATGTTTT